CATAATCGACAAAGTTTGAAATTACAATAAATTACTAGTATTGTTTAAGGAGAGACTGATGCATTAATTTGACAACAATACTTTTGTTTAAAGATAGATTGATAATGAAAGATACACGAGTCTCGGGTTAAAGAAAAACAGACAACAAAATTGATTGCTACGAAAAACATTTATCAGTATATAAGTTTAGAAATTTCTCTGGACAATAGTATATCTTCATAGGTTTTGCAAATCCATGATATACCTGCAAATGTAAAACTTATTTAAATGATGGTTTTAATATGTTTTTTTTTTAATTATGCATTTGAATTTCATTAAGCAATGAGAGAGTTTGAAATGTTTTAAAAAAAAAATCTGAATATCAGAGAAGTTATTCCTTACCAAAAAAATAAAAACAAAGGAGAACCTAAATGAATAACCAAGTATAAAATATAGCATAGTTTTAGCCTTTAGGTGAGCCTAATCTCCATTAGATCACCATAGTTTTTACATTTCTTTTTTTTGCGAAAACTGCATCACACATCAGTCGATCAATTATCTTGAAGATTGTTTGCAGCGTGGAGGAGATACTCCATATCAAGTAAACAATTTCTACCTCCGATTCATTTCTCATTTTATTCGTCAAGCTTTGTTTTCCTGAATTTCCTTCAAGCATGGTGTCGTACGTGATGAGAGTTTTCTTGCGTTAAACCATGAAGATTTTCAATTGTTTCTCCATGTTGCAGTTTTCTCATTATTTGTAATAGAAATAAAAAAAAAAGAATCTGCAGTATTCTCTTGGTATGTTTTTCATGTCAAACCATGAATACTGTGGTGACAACTCTAGCAACCATAATTAGTTATTTTGTTTTTGGCACATTTGTATTTGGGCTTGCTGATTCATTTGTTCGCTTGGCCCAATCAACCACATATTTTGACTATGTTAAGATCCGGCATATTTTCTTATATATTCCAACATTTAAGAAATTTTAAATTTTCGTTTTTTTTATAGAGTTCGAAATTTAAAAATATTGAAGTTCGTATATTTTCATGTAAATATCTCAATCCAAATAAAATTAAAAACTTTGTTAAAAATTTATTTGGCTAACGGGAAAAAGTTATAAAGAATTATTTAGCTAATAAAATAGTTGGAGAACGGTCGTTCAAGAAAGAAAAATAAAAATCGGGCCACTTTTATGGAAATTTTTGGTTATAACTAGGCCCATAAACTTATTGCCAAGGCCCATAAAGCCCGTTTAAGTGGAATTTCTAGTACATTTCGAATTAAAACATGTAGAGAGAACAAGTGGGTTTTCGAAAATGGTCCTAAACATTCTAAACGACATATATACACAAAGAGAGTCTTTGAAATGCTT